ACAAGCCTCCCTTTCAACCTTTTTTGTCTCCAAAGAAAGTTCAGGCTCGATTTGATCTACAAACCACTCGCTCATCTTTCTGGCACTCCAGGGCATCTGCAAAACTCTCCTCCAGCACCACATTTTGAATGGGTAAGGGTGGAGGAATGCAGGCCAAGGAGCCCCCAGAGGCCTCTTCTTAAAAGAAAGATCTGTCTTGAACCTGTGGACGCCCTATTAACAGTGCAGTAAACCTCAGTCAAAAGAGAGTGGCAGTGTGGGGTGGGTGGTGTCGACCAAGGAAGGTTAGGGGAAACAGAATATTTCACTCTGGTGTGCTCTCCTTCTCTCTATATCAGCCGTGGTCCTTAATCATCAGTGAGTTTTATTAAGAAGTAACAGCAAAGGAGATGGCAAGTGACAGCTTTTAAATCAACTTGCCAAAATACCCCATCAATATTTTGACAATTTCTCCCTCGCCGGTTCAATGACCCGATGTGAAGCCTGACAACACGAATGGAACTGAAACAAAAGCCTGCCAGCTGAGATCCAACTGGCTGGATTTACTTTCTAAAAAGGTAAGAGGGAGAGAACGGGGGACAGATCCTCATAAAAAGATGTCCATTGGTAGTAGGCAAAATCAGAAAGGTTTCTCTCTGGCTTGGCTTTCTGCAAAATACAGCTCGGATCTCATGGGATAGGAGAGGGGATTCCACCCTGTCTGGATGTAGCGCACTTTCACCACACCCCGTGTGCAACAAGGGTAGGCAACCTGGCACGCGACACGTGCCCTGGGTGACAGTTGGCATTATTCTTGGCCATTGGAGCTGATGGGAGCACTGGGCCCCCAGCTCCCGGGCCTGTTTGCTGGCCCATTGGACGTGCCCCAGCTTTTCCCCACTCTGCTCTTCCTGAACATCACACACAGAGATTTTGATGCCAAAGCTAGGATCTGCTGGCCTTGCTTGAGAGCATGTTGTTAGTCAGGGCAGATGCCACTAACTTAGACGGAGCCACCGCAAGGCAAATTTCTATACAACTGATAATACTGGTCATTATTTTGCCAGCCTCCAGAATTCACTCTGCCACATGATCCAGAATAGTGAACTGAGAACCGCCTATTTACTGCGGGCGCTGAAGACACCGAGACATAAGAATCAGGTTGACTCGTCCTCTTACCTACGGGATCGAAGGAGCTATAAATCCCTTTAAAAGATGCAGGCCCCCATTCCCAAGAACGCGTTCCCACTCCTTGTTTTGCCACAACCAGGCTTTTAATCCCCCCTATTAAAGTACTTCCCGCTATGTTCTGTGCGTGCCAAATTAAGGGCTTCTCAAACAGCTGGCACCCTTAATGCTCAGAGAGGTTCTTGAATATCTATGAAAATTGGGGCAAATTACATCTTTCAGTTAATAATTTATCCTCCATTAAACCTCTCTCCTTGCCTCTTGTTATGGGGTGATGTAATGGCCCTTCTGCACCAGGCCGCCCCTCCCAACGCCACCCGAAGACCAGTTGCTCAGATTCCAGATGTCATGGACGGAGATGCGCCCGAGGAAGGGATGAGCCAGCGATGCACAAAAAAACAAAGCAACGGGGAAGAACCAGGAACAGCTCCTGTCTCCCACCGGTACTGTTTTGTGATCCGTATCTCATTTATCTTAATGCAGATGTCCTGGGAAGATGGGTGGTTTCGCTCCCTTCCTCCAGATGGAAAATGGAGGGAAGGCAAAGCCATCCGTTGAGAAAGGGAGCTGTACAATGAGGAGAGCGGGATCGGTGGCTGCCCCTCCAGCGAATCGCTGGGGAGCAGGTCCTCCCCTCATTGCTCAACGCATATCAGGCAGGTAATGACGGATGGGGACGGGAGTCAAACCACACATAGCTGGAGGACAGAATATTCCCCACCTTAGCACGAAAGGAACCGGAGAGAGGCAGAAGAGCGTTCAGTCCTTGTGGAGGCTGTGAGTCTTTGAGGCTTGGTGCTCTGAATCTCACCTCCCATTAAAAGAGTTGATCTGTCAACAGCCTCCCATCTAGGGAGGAAGCTGGTTTGGCACTCTATGGGATGCTTGCTAATCATCATGCTAACCCCCCTTACAAGAATGTGGTCAGGCCTTCTGAACACCTTCAAGGAAGAGCAGAGTATAAGCGTATAAACAAACCGTGAGCTTCTGAAAATCTTAGCTCCCATTTCAAGTCCCGAAAGCCTGTGGTTCCAGAGGAAGGCTTAAGAAGACCAAGTGACGTCAAACACCGACAACCATTTTTGCAAACATCTGCCTTTTCTCTTTCTCATCCTCACTGTCTCCCTCCCTCCTTCTGAGAACTCACAGCTTCCTGGGATCTGTACTTTCTGCCCCTCGGCTATTGTTCGAACCATATTTAAGGACGCATTTTCCCCCCTGAGCCTCCGACTCCCCATTTTCCCTTTAACCTCTTTCTCCTGGCATCACTGTGCGGACCCCTGTCTAGGCTACGAAACCGACAGCAACTTCTTCAGATAGTTCCCCTATTGAACGGGGAGGCTGTGATGCTTTCCTGCTCTCCACTTGTCTTGACTGGCGATGGACTGGCCATAAGGGCAAGAATCCCTTCAGTCTGGAGAGACACATCCCTGCTGGTGAAAGCCATTTCCCCTAATTACCCCTTGCCTCTCTATTATTACTCTGATTCCTGCATGATGATACGATTCACTTGCATGTCCAGATGTGTGGGTGTGCTACAGCAGTAGTTCTTAACCTTTGTTACTCAAATGTTTTTGAACTACAACTCCCAGAAACCCTAGTCAGCACAGCTGGTGGTGAAGGCTTCTGGGAGTTGCAGTCCAAAACTCCTGAGTAACCCAAGGTTAAGAACCAATGTGCTACAGGATAACACAGAGGGGCCCCTTTGACATTTCCGCCCTTATGATCTTCCCAGGGATTCAGAAACCCAGCGAGAACCCAAGTCAGCTTCCCCAGAACAAATCAAGACAGAGTATGACACAAACAGCCCACAGGTTGGACGTGTCCGCAGCCCTGCTCTTGTGGGATGGGCAGTGGAGAATGGCAGTGCCGAATCGGGAGGATCTCTGCCTAAATCCCTTGTTGCTGTTGTTGTTTTTTCATGCTGCCTCTGCAGCACCAACCATTGCACAACAGGTTGTCCTTGACTCTGGTTTGCCAATAAAAAAAAAAGAAGGAAAAGAAAGAAAAGAAGAAGCAGAGAGAAAAACAGAGGAACGGCAGGCAGACAGAAAACAGTTATTTTTAAGAAGAGGGAACAGTCCGGGTCCTGCTTAGCCTGATGGACAGAGGCTGCACTTTCCCTTTAAATGTTTGATCATACCATGAAAACAAAACGGACAGGCTCTGGACTGAAGAAATTGGGCTGTTCCTGTTCCAAATCTCATTCTTATTGCACAGAGAAAGAGGACCAGAGGACCGTTGATTACCTGGAGAATCTCACAGCATGCCTCAGGATTTGTTCACTTCCTTCTCACATTTATATCCCACTTTTATTTAAATGAGCTGGGGGGGGGTAAACAAACCGTGAGCTTCTGAAAATCTTAGCTCCCATTTCAAGTCCCGAAAGCCTGTGGTTTCAGAGACTAAATCCCTTGTTGCTGTTTTTTTCATGCTGCCTCTGCAGCACCAACCATTGCACAACAGGTTGTCCTTGACTCTGGTTTGCCAATAAAAAAAAGAAGGAAAAGAAAGAAAAGAAGAAGAAGAAGCAGGGAGAAAAACAGAGGAATGGCAGGCAGACAGAAAACAGTTATTTTTAACAGAGAGAAAAACAGAGGAACGGCAGGCAGACAGAAAACAGTTATTTTTAAGAAGAGGGAACAGTCCGGGTCCTGCTTGAAAACAAAACAGACAAGCTCTGGACTGAAGAAATTGGGCTGTTCCTGTTCCAAATCTCATTCTTATTGCACAGAGAAAGAGGACCAGAGGACCGTTGATTACCTGGAGAATCTCACAGCATGCCTCAGGATTTGTTCACTTCCTTCTCACATTTATATCCCACTTTTATTTAAATGAGCTGGGGGGGGGGAAGGCACAATTGGCTCCCCTCTTCTTTTTTTTTCCTTACAGCAACTTTATGAGACAGGCAAAGAAGGACTGGCCCAGGTCCACCCTACATTTCTCGCGTCTATACTGGAACCTGAACCCAAGTCCGAGTTGAATAGTGTTAACTTACTATTACTCTAAATACAATAATGCATTGCTTCCTTCAAAGACCACCCTCTTTTAAAACCGGAAGTCCACTTATCAGTTCCAAAAAAAGTGTGTGTGTGTGTGTGTGTGTGTGTGTGTGTGTGTGTGTGTCTGTGTGTGTCTGTGTGTGTGTCTGTGTGTGTGTGTGTGTGTGTGTCTTGGACTGAAGAAATTGGGCTGTTCCTGTTCCAAATCCCATTCTTATTGCACAGAGAAAGAGGACCACAGGGCCGTTCATTATCATACAGACATGTCAGGACTTAGGTTCTTCAATAAAGGTATATGATCACCAATGTCCCCTAAGCCTCTGGCATACAGACATGTCAGGACTTAGGTTCTTCAACATAATGGATTCTTGCAGTGGTCACGAGTCAATACCACTTAGACAACATCGGCATTCTCAAAACTGTCCCTACCCAATCTTGACCAGCATTTCCCAACTTTTGAGCCCGCTGATGTTCTTGGACCGTCATTCCCAGAAGCCTTCCCCACTAGCCAGGATTTCTGGGAGTTGTAGAACATCTGGGCACCCAAGAATGGGAAGCACTGATCTATACCATCCCTGAGAGGAGGAGTCAGATTTTCTCTTCCCAAACTCCGCTTGCCTAAACAAAAACTGAGCTATACTTTAGGACACTCACAGGAACTGGGTTAGGTTGGACCAAAGTCCTTCCGTGATTCTGAACCATGCTTGGGATACCTTTTCCAGAACACCAGAGATAGCAAACCTTCTCAACCCATAAGCATGCCTGAGGTCTGTCTGCAACAGAAGTGTCCGTTACGCCCGTAGAGTAAAGGAGAAGCCGGGCGGGCGTTACCTGAATGTCATCTGGAAGACCTGCCCTTGGTTGACGTGCTGTGTCCGGTTGTTGTAGCCGTGCAACATCTCTCCGAACAGAGTGTCGTTGAATTTCACATCCGGCTTGAGGCACTTTGGACCCTCGCAGATGTCCGACAACATGAGGCAGGATTTCCCGTCCGGGGCCAGCTTGTACTCTTCAACACAGCTGGGAACCAAAAAGGAGTGTCAGACACACACACACCCTCGAAAAGCCACCAGCGGGAGACAGGGCCGGCTCGGCTCTGTTGTGGGTTTTTGTGTCTTCCAGGGGCATATTTCTAAATTATTGTCAAAATTCAGCAGCTTATCTCAACACAAGGATGAAACAAGGATGACTAGGGCTACGTTGGCTCAGTCAAGGCTAGAGCAGACCCACTGAATCATTGTTACCTACACAGGAGTTGTGTGTGATGCAAATGCCGCTCAACAAGTCCACTCTAACTGGGACCAAAAACTAGATTTAGGACTCTGAGCCTGCCGACAAGGGGCAACAGCCCAAGAAGCGATGTCCAGGTACAAGAAGAAAAATGGACACAACGTGCATGATACTCTTGTCCTATGATACACTGTGGAGGTCCCATGATTTTGATGGAAACCAGACCCAGCCCTGGATGACGGAGGAGCGCCTCAAGCGGGCCGCCACCTGGTAGCTTCCTAAATGCTGGTAGCCCCGGTGAGCATTTTTAGCAGCATCAGGAGCAGAACAGGCAGCAGCAGCTGATGATGTTATTTTTTTTCATAATGATGCCTTTGATCTCTCCAGTCCCACAATAACCCTCTAAACTCCACCACTTTCCCAGGTGCCCCCGTTCTTCCATACTTGCAACCACCCAATGCAGGGCTTGGATCGAGTTTCATTTCCTTGTTGAATGGAAAAGTCAGGGAACCCGTTCACCTGTAGGACACCATTTCCTCTTTAATTACCCTTCACTATTCTGAGCAGTAACCTCTCTCTCTCTCTCTCTCTCACACACACACACACACATACACACAGAGAGAGAGAGAGAGAGAGAGAGAGAGAGCCGACAGAAACCAAAGCTCCAGGGAATCACAAAAGTCTGGAACACGGCACCGTCTCTTGCAGCTGGAGGATTTGGACAAGTCAGGAAGTGGCAGATGTTCCTTGAGTTTTAAGAATCTGCTTCTTTATTACCCAAACCTAGACCTTGTGCTTCCCTGAAGGTCAAATGGGCACAGAAGCAGGCCTGGCTGCCACAAGACAAAGCAGCAAATTTTAAAAAATAAAATAAAATCAGAAGGAGGGGAGACTTTGACTGCGCAGGGCAGAGGCCTGGAGGCCCTAAAATGTCTCTTTGCAACCTGCAAGACCCTCAGCTTCTGGGTGCCAGAGTCTCCCACCCTGACATCTCTCCAGCCTGCTACGCAGGCCCCTACGCACCACCTCTTTCCCATATCCAAGCTGAATGGGGGAACTGGGGCCAGCACGAGACCTTGCTGAACACGTCACGCAGCGGCCATCCTCAAGAGCCCATTTTCAGCACAAGTGGAAGGCCCACCCTCCTGGGTTTAGATGTGAGAGCGGGAATGATGTGTGGGGATGGCTGTGTCTGACCTATTGAAACTGCAGCACTCCCCACAGGAGGGAAGCGCAACAAGCAGGATCCCGGTGTCGGCAAAGGACGGGAGGGGAGGCGTGCTGTGGGATGTGAATTGACAGGTGCACGGGTGGTTTGAAAGGACATTTCATAGATGGGAGAGAGCACCTATGGAGGGAGGGAACACTGAGAAGCCCTCCGTTCTCCTTGGCTGTAAAAAGAGACATGGCGTTTCAGTGGTGGATCAATGAGACAGATATTCCCGGGGAGACAGGCCAGGATTAAGCCACAGGTGTCAAGGACACACCCGTGGACTGGCAACTGCGCCTGCCCCTCCTTACCTGGCAGTATGGCTCCAGGGGACGAGCGCCGGAAGGGGCCAGCGGGGTTGGGGAACGGGACAGCCTTTCACCACGGAGGGCAGGGAGATGACACAGAGCCCCTTCGGTGTGGAGTGATACCCTCTGCGCTGCTTTTAAGGAGGAGGAGGAGGAGGAGACCTGTTTCTTCAAGGAGGGTGCGCATGTGTGCGTCGGGGGGAAAGCGTCGCTCCATGTTTTGTTTTTCAAATGGCACTTGAAACATACATGGGGTGCTCCACGCAGGGTCAAGGCTGGGGAGTCGGGGGACGCTACGAGGGCCCTCGGAGGTTCACAGGCTGCCCAGAACATCCATGGGGTCTCCTCCACCTTATGCTTTATCGGGAGGAGGGGGGGAAAGGAGGGTCTTCCACTCCCTCCCAGCAAGAAGCCTGGTTCTTCCCAACAAGGGGCAAGCCAAAATATGGAGAGAGAGAGAGGAAGAGAGAGATCTTTTGAGGAAGCCAATTTATTTATTCAACTTATTTATTTAACTTATATGCTGCCCACACTACCCAAAGGTCATAATTTACAGATGAAACTCGAGGCATGTTTGCACCTGAATAGGAGAAAATGTGATTTTCCATGCTGTTGTGGCTTTGAAATCTCATAGCATAGTGTAAGGTCAAGAGCTCTACAGCACGAGGATATCACCAAACTTGGGCAACACAGATGATCTTGGACGACAACTCTCAGAAATCCTGAGCTACACCTAGTGGTGAAAACTTCTGGGAGTTGTAGTCCAAGAACGTTTGGGGACCCAAGGTTGGGAACCATTGGTTTAGAGCAGATAAGCAACAAGAATTACTTTTTTAAAATCTATCTATCTATCTATCTATCTATCTATCTATCTATCTATCTATCTATCTATCTATCTATCTATCTATCTATCTATCTATCTAACATTGGTTTAGAGCAGATATGCAACAAGAATTACTTTTTAAAAATCTATCGATCGATCGATCGATCGATCGATAGATTTTTAAAAAGTAATTCTTGTTGCATATCTGCTCTAAACCAATGTTTCCCAACCTTGGGTCCCCAAACGTTCTTGGACTACAACTCCCAGAAGTCTTGGCTAGTTTGTGGCCTTCAAAGTTACCTTTTTCTTTTCAAAACCTCTTTGCCAATTACAATTCTTCTCAGTCCCACAAGTATTTCAGATTCTGTGAGAGGTACTTAAAGACTGCAACCAGGAGAAAGGATTTTAATTCCACAAAATAGAACCTAATGAACCATTTAATAAAGGCCTAAATATGCTTTACAAAGAGAGTTGGGTAACAAAGCCTTCCCTGCTCTCTGCTGCCTGCAAGATAAAGTAAATTCTCTCTCTCTCTCTCTCTCTCTCTCTCTCTCTCTCTCTCTGTGTGTGTGTGTGTGTGTGAGAGAGAGAGAGAGAGAGAGAGAGATATAGATGTGGCACCCCTTCCTCCTTTCTTTCATATAGTTTCATGATTTTAAAAAGAACAGGTAACTGATTTGTTAAATAGGAAGAAAGTCTACGGGTCGAAGCAGAGGGAAGGCCTGCCTCCAACTCTGCCCCCATGCTCGTCTAAGCAGGCCAGGACTGGACCGTGACTTTGAGACCAATTACAACAGGTCTCCCCTTCTTGTGACAGATCCGGAAGGGAACCGGAGCTGAAAGTGAATCCAGCCTTCCCAGGGTGAGCGGGCCAATATTTCCCATTGCCTCTGTAGTGGGCGGCAAGAAAAAGGCTCAGCTTGGCCTCTGCCGCAGACTCAGAGGGGTCACTCTAGAGGGGCTGATTCTGAGCCCAGGGGCCAAACATCTCACCCGCAGAACATGTGGATGGTGCTGGAGAGGGGGTCCGAGACGAGAGGCACCGTCTGCTGGAGACAAAGCTGCTCGCATCCCCCGTTGAAGCCATCTGAGCAGTCGATGCCCTTGGAGTAGTCGTAGCAGCCGGAGCCGTCTTTCATGGGCCTGAGGTCCTCGGGGCACTGAAACGAGAAGGGACGAAGGGCATGGTAAAGAACAGAAGAGGGGCCCAATCCGTGGGGCATCTTCCAAACGCAAAGCCAAGAGGCCGTCTCCCCAAGCCAGCGGGGCCCAGCCTTGGCTCCCCAAGCCTTCCCCGGGAAGGATTTCTGGGGGGCTGTAGTCCAGGAGCATCAGGGCTACCCAAGGTTGGGAACCACTGTCCTACAAAACCCCTTTGGTGGAGACACCTGTCCTTTGAGAGAAGCAGGACAGTAAAGAGGTACCTCTTCCTCGATGGTCTTTGTGTTCTGAGGAAGGCGGCTCAACAGAGGCTGAGAAAAGAGGGCTTTCAGGAAGTGGACCCCAAATACCAGTGTCCCTTAAGGCAGATGGACCCAAACACCACCCCCACTAGCTAGTGGAAAATGTGATTTTATTTATTTATTTTATTTAAAATATCTCTATCCCACCTTCCTCCTTAAAAAGGACCCAATGAGCATCTTCTGGGCCAGCTAAGAAGAACAAGATCTGCTGACATGAAGCCCTGGCCGAACCCGCCATGAGACCCGGGAAATGTCTTGCAGGTAGAAGTCTGGCCATCAGATTTCTCACCTCCCTTTGTGAACCTTAGTAGGAGCTTTAGAGTAATAAGAATGCCGTGGTGGATGCTCTGTTTACTGCTGGTAACCAATTCAAGGGACCGGGACCGCTTTTTGCCTCCTTTTGCTTTGATTTCCTGCCTAGGTTTCCTCCATCGTTGCTCTGGCCCCATTAACAAAGACGGCCTCAACGATCGAGGCGAAACAGCCGTCCGGAAAAGGCCAAGCGCAGCCTCTGACTCCAGGGTGACGCTGCTCTTTTCGCTCTCACGGAGGACGGAGAAGGCTGCCAGCAGCAGGAAGGGGTTATGCCTGGGTCAGGATCCTCTGGGGAGCTTCCCCTGAAGTTGACAGTGAGCAACGCTCATGAGGAGTCGGGATCCAGCTGGGTTTATTTGTAAAACTCCCCCCCTCCCAAAGCAGTAGACAGAGAATTTGGTCATTTGGAGGTGACAAAAGGTTCTGGACTAATTTGCACCCGACCGGACATTTCTTCTGAGTTTTCACGTTGGTTTCCCGGCAACCTTTGCTAGTCCCAAGTGATTAAAGCAGGCAAACATCCCGCAACATCAATCAATAGCCGCCTTTATTAAATAGCACTCCAGCTTCGTCCTTATTTATTTTCCTTCAAGTGCAAGCGAGGAGAGAGAAAAATAAAAAAAATAAAAACAAGCAACATGAGAAAGAAAAAGGGAGTTGGGAGGGGAGGAGAGACCAGTGCATCAGAGGGCAGGGGAAAGATAATAAATGTTGTCTAATGTTGTCCAATTAAAAATGCACCATGGTATTCCAGAGCTGCCCCCACCCACCCATTGCCAGCCAGAACTGGAATGTGTAGAAGGCGGATTATAAACAGCCTCTGTCAAGACAAGGCAGGGCTATAAAATGGCTACCTTTCTTTTCTATAAGAAAGAAAGAAAGAAAGAAAGAAAGAAAGAAAGAAAGAAAGAAAGAAAGAAAGAAAGAAAGAAAGAAAGAAAGAAAGAAAGAAAGAAAGAAAGAAAGAAAGAAAGAAAGAAAGAAA